AGCATCATGATAGATGGAGAAAAGATTGAAGCTGTCAAAGACTTCATATCACTTGGTTCTACAATCAACTCCAATGGAAACATCAGTCAAGACATCAAAAGATATATTGCCTTGGGCAAATCTGCTGCAAAATACCTCTTTCAAGTGGTGAAGAGCAAAGATATTTCCTTTAAGACTAGGATGCGCTTAATCCAAGCCATAGTATTTTCAAATGCCTCATATGCATGTGAGAGCTGGACATAAGAAGGATCTAAAAAGAGTTGATGTTTTTGAGTTGTGGTGTTTGCGAAGATTATTGAAAGTACTGTGGATTGCTAAAAAGACTAACAAATATGTCCTGGAGGAAGTGCAGCCAGAATGCTCCTTGGAAGTGAGAATGTCCAGACTTCATCTCACCTGCTTTGGTCATGTTGTCAGAAGGGACCATTCTCTGGAGAAGGATGTCATGTCTGGTAAAGTGGAGGGTAAATAAAAGAGGGGAGGGCCCTCGATGAGATGGACAGACACAATGGCTATAGCGATGGGCTCAGGTGTAGTAGGGATAGTGAGGCTGTCACAGGACCGGGCAGTGTTTCGTTCTATTGTACACAAGGTCACTATGAGTCAGAGACAACTCGACGGCACATGACAACAACAACCCTATCGGATGTGAGAATATGAAGAGGGATTTTACTCACAATTTTCCAGCTCTATAACCTTCAATTCATGTATCAGTTTCAAGATTATGTGGCAATCACAACTGCATGTACTTGTAATGTTCAAAATAAGACTTTTAATTTCTACATGTAACATTTCTGTGTAAAATAGGAACTATCTCATGAGTGCTGATAAATACTAATATTTAAGAATGTATCCTCAATACCCAAAATAAGCCTAATTATGGAATTACTCTAAAATCCAAAAATAAGTCCAGAAATAAGAAAAGTTCTAAGGACAGTGTAGGGTGAAAGTGTTCCTCCAAACAGTGCATGTTTGTACATCTGAACCACCCACACATTCTATTCCACTGAGAGTAAATGTCTGGGTATGATTCATTTAGATCACGAGCAGGGTCCAAACTTCTCTCATACATGTGCTGAAAACATCTGTGGCCTGTGCAAGAAAATCTATTATGATCATAGCAGCCTGGCTATAGAAATAGTAGAAATCAGCTGGTTTCTATTTTAAAACCTAAAACATTTAAAAAGTCAAAAAATAAAGTAAAGCTAGGTCTCTTTTTGTTTGTTTGTTTTTATGGATACGTTTTATTTCATGGAAAAAGGTATGTTTAAAGGCTTCACCTGGAAGAAAAACATGTTAATAATTGTTTAAAAGTAAATATGTAGGAATTAAAAATTTATAATCACAAATGCTATAGTTTCCATTGACATGAAGTTGACACATAATTGGAGTTAATCTTATATGGTCAAGGGCTATTCTTAGGTATCCACATTTTACTCAAATAAGAAAGGTTCTTGAAATGTTTTCTTGCTAACTTTGCTTCTCCATCTAGTGAGAATGATAGCCAATTACTTTGAATATGTTTATGGTTATGAAAAGAAAAAGCTTTTAAAGCACATAGATCCCAGTTGATTAGAAGTTTCTTTCTAAATTAAAAATAAAAACAAATGAGACAGCACATCATAGGATGCATATCTAGTCTGCTACTTGATAGCTATGTGACTTTAAGCAAATCCTTAGTCTGTAATTGTCTGAGAAACAGCAAGATGACAAGAGTCAGTACACAAGGCTCTTCTGAGGTTTGCATAACAATAATGTACAGAAAAGAGCTCTGGTGGCTTAATGCCAAAGGCATTTGGCTGTTAACTATAAGGCAGGTGGTTCAAACCTACCAGCAACTCCTCAGAAGGAAGGTTGGGCAATCTATTTCCATAGTGATACCACCTCAGAAAACCAAGGAGGGGTCAGTATGAGTTGCAATTGACTCGATGGCAGTGAGTTGTTGTTTTTATTTTTCCTCTCAGATAATTTGGTTATATTATATTACCATCTACTAAACTGATCATAAGTTGGTCCATCTTTCTTTTTCCTTTATAGCTGGGAGACAGTTCTTATTCACCAGGATGATGTTTTGAGAATTCCCAACATTTGGGGAAAACTCAGTACTATGTAATTCTAATCCACCACAACATGCACTCAGATTATCACAAATTTTCTGTTGTTGTTAGAAACCAAGGAATGATACTTTCTTAATCCACCATAACCAAATCATCGTAAGGTTGTATAAATGCCTAAAGCACTTGACTGCTAACCAGAAGACTGGAGATTCAAACCCACCAGCCACTTCTTGGAAGGAAGACCAGGCAATCACTTCTGTAGAGACACCGCCTCAGAAACCCAAGAATGGCTTGCAATAAGTCAGAACTGACTCAACTACAGTAAGCTTTTTTTATTTTTTTCCTAATACATATCTTGAAGGGATCTCTTTCCTTCATCTCCAATGCTTCTACACAAGTCCACATCACCATTAACTTGTACACAGACAGGTAGAAAAGACAACTTCCTATTCTCCCCACTCTGGCTCTTCCCCCACCAACCCTCTTCCTAAACTGCTGCCAAAGTGATTTTTATAAAGAAATCTGGTCATCACACACTCCAAAAACTCATTGGACAAATCTGACTGTCTGTTTTCTTTTTCAAATGCACTCAACTCAAATATCAATAATTAAATTAAATTCCATCTTCAAATAATAATAGTTTAAATAATAATTACATTTTAAATCAATTTGATACATAGATCCTTTACCTTTTTATAGCTGGATATTCTATGACATATGTGCTCAATTTTTTCACTGCAAATGGTACTGAATTTGCTCTGAAGGTCAGTAGGAATCACTTCATTTAAAGAGTTAAGGCTGGTACAGCTTTGTACAAAATGATCATCACTTTTAGCCAAGGCTTCAAGAATCTGTAGTAATGAAACTCACACACAGCCACACACAGAGATACACACACACACACACACACACACAAAGAATCAAGACAAAAAAAAATTAAAACTTCATGATTAGCCAAAAAAAAATTTTCATAATATAAGAACACAGGGTGATCTTTGTTATTTGTCTTTTTGCAACTATCTGGAATTTTATTTTCAGTAAAGCACTGGTAGTGTGGTGACTGACTTGTCTGTTAGAGATCCCCTGTTTTGTCTTCTGCTGGCTATAAAAGCCTGCTCGAGGGGATGAGTAGACTTCAGAGTCTGTGCTGGATAAATCTGTACACTCAATGTGGAAACATATCTCCTAAATTTAATTCAAGTTACTCAGCATATTTTTTGTGTGTGTATGTGTGAATTTGCTAGTAGAATAACAAAAACTAGACAAAACCAAAAGCATCCACACATGCTACTGAGAGCTCTGCATAGAGAGTGCATTTAAAGTTTGCTAAAGGAATGAATAAATGGAAAGCAGCTATCTTGCTAAGGTGCAAAGCTATGATCCCTGCATTGTCTGAGCATTCTTTGGTAGAAGAAGAAGATAAAAGTACCTACATGCTGTTTTCAATTAGCGAATTCTTTTGACTTTTTGAAGCATCTGTAAGGCAGCTTGTGTGTGTGTGGTATATGTGTAAGTGGGTATGCACGAGTACATGTGTGTACCATTGACCATTGAGAAATTTCAATGATCTGAGAGTTAATTATGTGGTATACTTATACATAGCATTTATGTTTGTCCAAAGATTACATATCTTTATAATATTATATGAAAGATAAAATGTATAGATATTACATTTGAGCTCCTCACCACCTCCATCTCAATATCATGAAGAGTGTAATATTTTTTTTTTTGCTAAGAAGTTTTTTTTTTTTTTTTTTAATTGTGATTTGGGTAAAAGTTTACAGAACAAATTCATATTCCATATGACAGTCCATACACAGTAAGATTTTTATTTAATCACTACTTTAAAAATTAAAGCTGAGCTTATTGTTAGTGACATGATATCAGTTAAATTTCTTAACTTCTTTGACTTTCTTTCCTTCATTGTAAAATGGAATTGTATTTGTAGTACTAGTTTATACTATCATACATAAAATAATCATGTAATTGTGTGAACTTTAAATAGTGGGAACATGAGATAATTACACTACTCTGATCGCAAATATTTACATGGGCCCCCTTAACAGTACAATATAGATGGGAAGGGGCTACATTTTGAAAATATGTATTTTATAGCAATAGATACATATAGTTATATGGTATCACTAAAATGATGAAGTTTTTATAAAATTAAAATTCAAAATATAAAACATAAAGTAGTTGTCTTTTGAAATATTATTTTTTTTTCTCTCTATATATTATTGGGTCCCACTAAAATTAAAACAAAAAAACATGTTACAAATGTTAACTCAATGAACTTTAAATATTTGAAATAAGAATTGAAATGAAGAAATTAAGGTGAGGAATATATCTCATTTTTTTGCCTTGTAATATCTGAATTCTCACAGGACACATAAACTGTAAAGAACTTTTGGAGGATGCAGTAGGTGGTTGATGGATTTACCTTGTGGAAGAGCCATGAAAAGCAAACTTACCATCACCTCTTTCTTAACATTTGTTTTCTCCATTTGGATGAAGATTCTCTTCCTCCCTCCCTGTCTTGCTTTTAGTCTAAATACCTTACAATGTAGCCCTTTCCAACAAGAATTACAGAAATGTTTGAGGATCTATTCATAACCTGATCTCTAAGCTTCCTGGAAGTTTAATGAAATAAATATTAGACTTGCAAATGTGAGATTTTTTTTATATTTCACAATACTCTGCATAGGATTAGTTGTACCTTAAAAAAGCAAAAAATAGCATCACCTCTCATGATCTCCTCTGAAAGGTATTCATGATACTGAATGAATATACGTAGCAAACTTAATAAATGTGGTGAAGCCTAACACTTGCCCAATTAAGAGTCCCATCCAACTTCACATTGTCTTCCAAAAGAGACCAAGACAAAGAAGATTATGTACACACTGAGAAATGAAGAGCGAAAATACAAAAACAAGTTTCATGAGCTAACAGTCACAGCATGTACAGCTCTAAAAACATCAAAAACTAGAGATTGGGGGTGCTTTTTTTTTAGAACAAAGAACTTTGTTTTCCCAGGATTGCTCATACCTTGGCAGTTAAGCTGAAGAAACCTTTGGGCTCAATCATCTTCTCCACCATGTTGCACTTGATCCCAGCTGTGCTGTCGTACTCATACACTACCCCATATTCCAGGTGCACATTGTCCACAGTCAGGCTCACGTGTTCCTTCTTCCCCTCGATGATAGCCATGGTGTTGAACTTGTCAATTACTTCTGGGTTAAAGGCAATTTTAATGCAGCACATTAATGAAGAGTTCATTAGCCTATTCAAATAACTGAATCCCTTCAATAAATTTTAGAGTTCTTTAAAGGATGGGAAATCTTATGTGCTAAATGAAAGGATCTATCCTTGTTGCAAATTGAAATATTTTTGGTGACATTCTACTATTTCAGAAAAAATATGCTTGAGTGGAATTTATTAACTGCCAAATTTCTTTTTTTGTTAGTTTGAGTGATCTTGGTTATTTTTATTTTTAACTCTAACATAACTAGCCTTATCTTTGCACATCTGCTTGATCTTTGGACCACATGTACAAATAGTTATATTAATATAAAAAGTACATATAGAGTTTTATAATTTTTTTTTTTGGTTAAAAGCAGGCATGACTTAAAGTCAGGATTTCTACTTAAAAAAGACAATCTGGAGAGACTGTGTAGATTTGAGGTCCTTGAAATTCCCTCCCTCAAACAAAAAAACAAACTCCATCTTGGAAGAAGTACAACCAGCTCCTTAGCAGTGAGGATGGCAAGACTTCATCTCACACAATTTGGACATGTTATCAGGAGGAATCAGTCCCAGTAGAAGGGCATCATGGTTGGTAAAATAGAGGGTCAGCAAAAAAGCAGAAAACCCTGAATTAGAGGGACTGATACAGTGGCTGCAATAATACAAATATAGCAACAATTGTAAGGCTGGCACAGGAGAGAACAGTGTTTTATTCTGTTGTACACAAGGTCTCTATGAGTCAGAATGAATCAGTGGCACCTAACAACAACCACAACAGGCACAGGCAAGTGAAAAAGAACACTATGAGCAAAAGAGGAGAAAAAGGAGGAACTTACCTTCTACTTTGCAGTCAAAAGCGTCCCCCGCTTCATCGCCAGGTACCTTGGAGTTAGATTTCTGCAGGTCTTCTTGGGCACTCTCAATGCTGTTATAAACCCATTGTATGGAATCTTGCTGGAAATGAGGGTGGAATAAAAACCTCAAACATTTTAATGCTTCTTAAAATGAAAATTCCTTTTATAACTTGTTTCAGAAGGAGACTTAGCCATCTCACCTATTCTTCCAGTTTGTTAAAAGAATGACATTTGAAAGGGAGAGAAAATCATCATCAAAAACTAATAGAAAGCTGCCTGAAATCCATTAAATGGGGGAGAAATAGTCTCTTTACCAAATGGTGCTGGCGAAACTTGATATCCGTTTGCAGAAAAATGAAACAAGATCCATACCTTACACCATGCACAAAAACTAACTCGAGATAGATCAAAAACTTAAATTTGAAACCTAAAACTACATTTCATCACAGAAAAAATAGGAACAAACTTAAAAACGAAAAAACCAAACTCACTGCTGTCAAGTTGATTCGACTCATAGTGACACCTCCTTGAGTTTCTAAGGCAGTATCTCTATGGAAGTAGATTGCCCAATTTTCCTTCCAAGGAGTGGCTGGTGGGTTTCAACTACCAGTCTTCTAGTTAGCAGTCAAATGCCTTAAGCACTATGCCACTATCAAGTATAACCCAAAATGCACAAGGAGCAGAAGAGAAACTAGATGATTGGGACCCTCTAAATAATAAATTCTTATGTGCATCAAAAAGCTTCTCCAAAAGAATAAAAAGAGACCCTGTTGTTGTTGTTATGTGCCATCAAGTCTGACCCAGCTCATAACGACCCTTCCTTGGGTTTCCGAGGCAGCATCACTACGGAAGTAAATTGCCCCATCTTCCTTCCGAGGAGTGGCTGGTGGGTTTGAACCGCCAGCCTTCTGGTTAGCAGTCAAGTGCCTTAGGCACTACGCTACCAGAGCTCCCAAAAGAGACCCTACAGATTGGGAAAAAAATATCCAGCAATGACATACTTGACCAGGGACTTATATTTAAAATTTATAGAAAATTCCAAAACCTCAAAATCAAAAAGACAAACTATCCAATTGAAAAATGGGCAGAAGACATGAAGACACTTAACCAAAGAAGATATTCAGGCAGCCAACAAACACATGAAGAAATGTTTGCCATCATAAGCCATTCCACAAAAAAAAAAAAAAAAACAACTCCATTTCAACTCATAGTGACCCCTCCTTGGGTTTCCAAGGTGGTATCTCTTTGGAAACAGATTGTCCAGTCTTCCTTCCAAGGAGTGGCTGGTGGGTTTGAACCGCCAGCCTTCTGGTTAGCAGTCAAATGTCTTAAGCATTACATCACCAGAGCTTCTCGTTAGCCATTACCAAAACCAAAACTAAACCCACTGCCATTGAGTTGGATCTGACACATAGTGACCCCTCCTTGGGTTTCTGAGGAGGTATCACTACAGAAGTAGATTGTCCAACCTTCCTTCTGAGGAGTGGCTGATGGGTTTGAACTCCCAGCCTTCTATTTAGCAGTCAAAATGCCTCAGGCACTATGCCACCTGAGCTCTTGAAGAGATGCAAATCTATTCATGTCCTGGCTCTCACTTCTTTAGGATATATATCTAGTAATGGGATTCCTGGATCAAATGGTATATTTCCAACTTTTTAAGGAATCACCATACTGATTTCTACAGTGGTTGTACCATTTTACAGTCCCACCAGCAGGGTATGAGAGTCCCAGCCTCAGCAGTGTTTGTTATTTTTTGTCTTGGTGAACTTTGTTGCTATTATTGCTGGTGTGAGATAGTATCCCACTGTTGTTTTGATTTGCATCTGGATGTGGTGAGATGGGACTCTCTTACACTGCTGGTGGGATTGTAAAATGATACAACCACTGTAGAAATTGGTATGCCGATTCCTTAAAAAGTTGGAAACAGATATACCATTTGATCCAGCAATTCCATCACTAGGTATATATCTTAAAGAAGTGAGAGCCAGAACATGAATAGATACATGCACACCCATTGTTCTGGTTATCTAGTGTCACTCTGACAAGAATATACTACAAATGGGATGGCTTTAACAAACAGGAGTTTATTCTCTTACAGTTCAGGAGTCTAGAAGTCTGAATTCAAAGTGCCAGGTTCTAGGGGCTGGGTGAAAGCCTCTCAACCTTGGGCTTCAGCTCTGCCTCCAGCCCCCAGCCCACTGGAGTTAGTAGAGGTGTTTCTTCACTCAGACAGCCACTGGCTGCTGAGGCTGCCAAGCCCAAGATTGACAAGTAAAAAGTCCCGATGATACCAAACCACATGGTAGGCCATTAATTCAAGTCCATTGTAAATTCCCAGGTCAGCAGAGCATGGAAGGCTGCTGAACAGCAACATAGCCACATGCAGGGTCCAAGCGTGCCATAAGCTAGCTATCATTCCCCAAGGTTTCTGCTTATATACAGGAAGCAGACCACATTCCCTAAGGCAGCTACTCAGCTGCTCAGTGTAGATTCAGCCATGGAGTTGATTACCACTCTCATCATGGGGAATACTACATCTAGCTGCCCAGCCACTCAACCAGGCCCACTCAAGTTGACACACAAACTGAACTACCACACCCATGTTCACTGCAGCACTATTCACAATAGCAAAGAGATTGAAACAACCTAAGTGCCTGTCAATGTTGTTGTTGTTATTTTGCCGCCGAGTCGGCCCCAACTCATAGCGACCCTTCCTAGGGTTTCTGAGGCAGTAACACTACAGAAGTAGGATTGCCCAACCTTCCTTCCGAGGAGTGGCTGGTGGGTTTGAACCGCCAGCCTTCTGGTGAGCAGTCAAGTGCCTTAGACACTATGCTACCAGAGCTCCTAGTGCCTGTCAATAGAGGAATGGATAACCAAGTTACAGTACATACACATGATGGAATACTAAGCAACATTAAAGAATAATGCAGAATTTGCAAAACACCACGTAATTTGGATATGAACTTGGAGGACATTATTATGCTGGGTGAAGCAAGTCAATCACAGAAGGACAAATACTCTATTAGTCCACTACTGTAAAAAGTCAAGGAAAGGTTTATTTATGGAAAGCAACTTTCTGTATTGGTTTCCAGGGATGAGGGAGGGGACGGAAACTTGCTAGATAGCTAAAAGACAAGTATTGATTTGGGTGAAGGGAAAGGCCGTATACCAAAAGTGAGTGAACAACACAATAACACTAAGGAAAATGAAGACACAGAGAGGTGCACCAGAGGTACAGACAACAAAGATAAACACTTATACATACATAATACTGTATTATCAGTAATAGTAAATGTTAATCTACAGGTAGATACATAAGTAGACAAGCTGAACGATGAGGTATGTCTAGGCAAAAGGGAATAAACCCATGACCATTTATAAGTTAGGCAGATGGTATTTCTGAATATGTATTTGTATGTGCTGTAAGAATGTCCATATAAATACAACTACCAGAGAGCAGAGTTATGATAACTTCTTAGCCACAGTCAACAAACCTGAGTGAGTGAGTTGTTGGACCCATGGGCTTGGGACCATGGTCATGGGGGACATTAAGCTCAACTGGTATAACACACTACACAAAAATATTGTTCTACATCCTAATTTAGTAAGTAGCAACTGGGGACTTAAAAGCTTGCAAGCAGCCATCTAGATGAAACAATTGGTCTCTCCTTGCCTGGAGCAAAGGAAAATGAAGAATACCGAAGCAGATGGTCACAATTAGTCCAAGGGACTAGTGGCCCATGCAAACCTCAGCCTACATGACCATGAGACCAGAAGAGCTAGATTTTGCCCGGCTACCATGGTCAACCACTCTGAAAGGGCTTAGTGCAGGCAATCCTGGATATAGTGGGAGAAAAATGTGGAACAAAACTCAAAATCATAAAAAAGATGACTTATTGGTCTGACAGAGACTGGTGAAACCCCCAAGACTATGGCCTCTATTCATCCTTCAGGCACGGAATTGAACTCACTTCCACGGTTTCCAGGCAAACAACTGACAGGCATATAAGGTGAACATTGACACCAGGTAGGTACACTCCTTAGGACAATCAATCACCGGAGATCAGAAGGGCAGTATTTACATAGGCAGACAGCTCATAGGGCAGAATGCGTAGGAAAAAAGGACACATGGAAAGAGTAACCACAGGCAGGAAATGGAAAGAGAGCTGATATTTTGTGGGGACTGTAATCAATGTCATGAAACAAAATGCATATGAGTTATTGTACAGAAAATGAATTTGCCTTGTAAACTTTCACCCAACTCACAAAAAAAGAAGGAAAAAAAAAAACTAATAGAAAGTCAATGACACTGATATTGTTTAACAAAGATATATTTTTAAATAAGATATAATTCCAAATGTCTTAAGTGCCTCAAGTATATCTTAAAATGAATTATAAATTATATTTTAAAACATGTTAGATGGGCAGTTAGATGAAACAAATATCTATAATTGTATAAACTATTTAAATACTTTTCTTACAGTCATATATTTTAATATATTACTTTCTTGAATGAAAATAATATGAAAATTGGAAGAATGTCTTTCTTCTTATTGGGCTCCCAATTCATAGATCTATCTTTTAATCCTTCTGAGTAATAAATCACCCTTGATTACAGTTTAACCACAAACCATATAAAACTTAGATTTTTTACTTTTTCATAGAAATCTTATAATAAACAGTTTAAGTATATATAATTAACATATGCAGACATAGATACACAGTGATCATTAAAATCCTAGAGCTATCACAGTGTCAAGAAAATAGTTCAAACCTTTGGAATTTAACTGGATTAACAGAGCTAATAATTTGGAAACTCATATCACAGTGAAAATGGAAATATCACACAGCACTTTTTATACAGGTATAAAACTGTAACAATAAAATATAATCCTTTAAATACAAGCAATTACAATTAACTGTGCAGATAAGATCATCATGAGATTTACAGTACTGTGTTGAAATGTGGGCTTGGAATTGGAAACTACACATCTCTGGCACTATGCTGTGTTCTCTACTATAAACTTTATGCAAGTTTTCAACTGGATGGAAATACACCAAAGGGCAGATTACCTTCATTGGTCGCCTGTATTTCCTGCAGGCTGTGAGGTGGGCAATGACACTGGCATGGGTCTCTTTGCTGACATTGATTCCATTTACTTTGATAATACACTGTCCAGGGTGAAGGCCAGCTGCTGCAGCCACAGTTCCTTTAAAAACAAATGGAAATAAAGAACAAATAGTGTATGATCCAACTTAATCTAGAAAAGGCAAGTACCTAAGGCATTAGACTGCTATCCAGAAGGCTGGCAGTTCAAACTCACCAGCCACTCCTTGGAAGGAAGGTTGGGTAATCTACTTCCATAGTGATACCCAAGGAAGGGTCACTATGAGTCGGATCCGACTCAACAGCAGTGAGTTTGGTTTTTTGGTTTTGGATAGAGACCAAAGGTTATTAGTGGTTCCCAGGGATAGGTGGGAGGGACAGTGTCAATGCTTAAGGGGCATTGTTAATGAAAATTAACATGTTTTGGTTTAGTCAATATGAAAAAGGTATTTAATGTGTCAATATTCCCTTTTGGTTTCATAATACTTCATGCATTACTAGAAAAGTTTTAATTATCTATCACTTTGTATGTTAAAATAAGATTCATACATAAAAAAATGAAAAGTTTTATTATCTAATAAAAGTCTAGATAGAATATTCTTGATAAATTTGGTTCTCATAGTAATGATCTCTCAAAGTTTCCCTGTATAATATGTAGGTGATCACATTAAGATGTTTTATTTTTCTTAGCAATAAAAAGCATATATTTCCCATGTTAGATAAGCACATGGCTTTTTTAAGCTTGTAGTGACACTTCTTGCAATGGCAACAACTTAAGCAATATGATGAGCAATTTCGTATCTAAAAGTTACTCTCTTCAATCATTACTAGAGTCAGTAAAAATTTAAAAATATAATATGATAAAAAGAGATGTCAGTGGCTGGTTTGCTTACCCGTCAAAGAAAAGAATAAAATATACCATAAGTTTTTAGTCACAAACTTATCAAATTTAAAATGAATGGTGAGATTTACCCATAGTTTACTTGGGTACATGAAGGAATTATATAACTATAAGTTATATAGCCCACAGATCATTTTTAAACCTGAGAAGTCATGACCTTTGAATTACTAACTAATTATGCCTGTCTGTTGTTTGGCTGTAAACCATGGGAATGAGTTCAAATTACTAACAAAAAACACAATTATTTATAATCAGAGAAAAATACAATAAGACAATCTTAAAATCATATATCCTTTGGCTGAACTGGAGTGTTTAGAAAAGGTTGGGAGGTGTTATACTTTTATTATCAACATTTTAACAATAATAAATAGGCCTTACAAATTCTAAGAATTTTAAACACCCTACAATTTTGTTTTTGACATGTATTTAGAAATTGAGTTAATACAGTAAAAATATGACAAATGAAAAAATTCAGTAGCAACATAATTAAGCATGTCTTAAATGCATTCCCGTTCAGCAAGGAATAGCCAAACCATGCTAGAAAGCTGTTTAACAATCAAGATCAGTTTCTTACCTCTCCCAACTGCATGCACAACCGATGGGCCAAATCCTCGAATCTGGAATCCAAGTCCATCAGCTGAATCTTGAATTTTCACTGTCCTAAAGTTAATCAGAAAATAGGAATAAAGGGCCACTTTGTTTAATACAATAAAAAACCAAACTCACTGCTGTCAAGTCAATCCTGACCCACAGTGACCCCTCCTTGGACTTCCATGGCAGTATCTCTACAGAAGTAGATTGCCCAATCTTCTTTCTGAGATTAATACAATAGTCATCCATATTTTATTCATTAATTCAATATATACATATTGAGGGTCTACCATGTAAGACCCTGGGCTAGGAAGCCTTGATGAAGACAAACAGGGTCTCTGCACTAATATGTTGTTGTTGTTGTTGTTAAGTGCCGTCGAGTCGTTTCCAACTCATAGCAACCCCATGCACAGCAGAACGAAACACTGCCCGATCCCGTGCCAGCCCCACAATCCCTGCTATACTTGATCCCATCATCACAGCCAC